TCTTACATCAGAAGAATTGCAGACCAAGTGTTTTATATCAGAGAAAAGTTGTTGACCAAGTGTCTTACATCAGAAGAATTGCAGACCAAGTGTTTTATATCAGAGAAAAGTTGTTGACCAAGTGTCTTACATCAGAAGAGTTACAGACCAAGTGTTTTATATCAGAAGAGTTACAGACCAAGTGTTTTATATCAGAAGAGTTGCAGACCAAGTGTTTTATATCAGAGAAAAGTTGTTGACCAAGTGTTTTACATCAGAGAAGAGTTACAGACCAAGTGTTTTATATCAGAGAAAAGTTGTTGACCAAGTGTTTTACATCAGAGAAGAGTTGCAGACCAAGTGTTTTATATCAGAGAAAAGTTGTTGACCAAGTGTCTTACATCAGAAGAGTTACAGACCAAGTGTTTTATATCAGAGAAAAGTTGTTGCCACTGTACTTCTTAACTCAAATTTTTTCTAACTCACTGAACAGTCATAAGCTCATTAAAAGATAAGGTTGCAATTCAAATATCCAATACAGATCTTGAATTATTATCATTATTTTTTGCCCGCAGTGGATATACTTTGCAGTGGTCTAAATAACATGAAGATTCATTCTCTTAACTTTGTTTTACCTCATACACCAAACTATTCCTTTTTTTTTCCTTCTGCCAATTCAAAAATTTTGCTTCCAGTTCTTATCTATTTTTCTTAAAGGAATTTTGGCTTAGTTGTGAAAATTGTTCCAAATGGCTTCTCAAATTCTTATCTAAAACATAAACACCGTTGGTAAATTGTGAACAGTTTACTAGTCTAGACAGTGCTAATTTCAAGAGGTTGAACTATTGAATCCACTTAGGCTAAAGGGTTAATCATAGAAAATATTTTGATAGTGTCAAAAGTTTATGGAAAAATCTTAATATATCACCCAATTATTCAAAATTATCTCCCAGAACATCAAATAACACAAGTCATTAACTCACAGGAACAACAGGCATGGTATGGCCATCAAAACGAGCTCCTGGGTCATATCCTGCTGGTAAGTAAACAGTCCCTCCAGGTCTGGTGGCATACATAGTAGGTAGATATTGTGCTGGGATTGAGTTGGTAGTGTAACCATACATTGACATTCCTCCTGCATTCACCTAGAAAACAGACCAAGGAATTATGGAGTAACTCACTAAAAAGTAGAACCGATTGTAGGACGATTAAACTTTTTTTTCTTGCTGCACAAAAGATCTTCTGTCTTTAAAATATAGAACACTGTTCCCAATCTAGAATAAAGTTTAAATCCACAATAAGGCACGTGTTTCTCTCGCAAGCAAATGTTGGACTGTAGAGAATACATGAAAGTACCAAAACTAGTATCCATATAAATTTGGTATTTTTTTGTTATTGTGTATTTTGTTTATTTGTTTGTAATTAAGCACAAAGCTACACAATGTGCTATCTCTGCTCTGCTCACCAAGGGTATCGAAACCCAGTTTCTGGCGTTGTAAGTCCGCAGACATACCGCTGTGCCACTGTGGATTTAAACTTCATTTCAAACTTAAACTTTCTACGGTATTGTGTATTTAACAACTGTTCTCAATTTTTATTTGATAAGAATTTTAAATATGTGAATGAATAGACCAGTGCAGAAATAATCATAAAAACGTTTTTTTACCCATGAAAGTAATAAAGCTAGTCAAATACAAGGTGGGTAAAATCTTAATACACAGATTCCAATTTGCTCAGATATTATCCATTGTTATAATACGTATTGGAAAAATGACTGTCTACAAAAGTTACTGTGTATTTCCTTTATCTAGTTCGAAAATTTTTGTTGATCTACTATAAGGTAATCCAATTTTCACGTGAAAAAAAAATAAAATTCTGTTTCCATCTCTATAAAAAATTAGTTGATATGTAGTAATTTTTTAGCTTTTATACAGAAACCTCCACAGTATTTTTTGATGTTTAGGTATTAGATTGCCTTTTATAAATCTCAGAATGCATAAAGTTACCTTTCAAATACTTAATTTCTATTTTCCAAATGTAGATTATCTTAGATCTCTGCTGTGAATACTAAAACTATTGAAATATTGTATTAAACTTCAAAATAAGTTACAAATATACATGTTTGATGAAACCAAGGATATTTTTGTAAACTAGATCTGTATTGTTATTTTTGATACTGTAACATTTTAATATCAATACAAAATAAACAGAAAGATATATATTTGATGTGTTTCATATAACATGTTAAAAAACACATACCGATAAATATGCTATGATATAGATAAATATGTACTGCTTATTAGATTATCATGTCAGTAACAATGACAATATTGTTATCTGTGATTTCAACTAACACCGACATTGACAGGATAAAAATTCCCCTCCTCCTGGTGGTCATCACAGGAGCATTGGGTTAATTCATAAAATCTTGTATTGAAAAATACAATAAACATTTAGAATTAAGATTTACAATCATAGTTATAGACAAGAAAATACCAAAACTCAGTCTAAACAACCGTTAAACAAAAAATGCTAGGTGGAACTCCCCACATGACTAATAATTTGTTAACACTACAGGATGATCTGGCCTGAAGGTAATGGAAGAAAGAACCGATAAAAAAAGTTTACAAAGAATATATATATATATATATATATTTAATTGAAATATTCAGCAAATTGAAGCTGTCAAATGAAATTTACAAATGTGGTTCAGTAAAAAAATATCACGTTCAAGGCAGCCCAGAGTTTCATAGTAAGAGCCAAGAAAACCTCCAATAGTGGGCAGAATAATGACTGCACTGGCCCTAAGCAATTTCATAAAATATTGAATAGTTTTGGATCCAATATTTTTCTTTTTGTACTTTGTATTTAGGTTTTGTAACTTGGATTTAGTTTTTTTGTTATTAAAACCTTTCAAAATGCTTGATGTTCTGATAGTTTATATTTTAAGGTGGATTTGATAATTAAAGAAATAAAATACACCTCGCAGAGAAAGACATATGGCAAGTTATAGTTCAATCATTCAAAGGCCAATGGCAACTACAGGGACAATCTTTAATAAGAATGTAATTTTTGAACAAAACTTTTCATACTGCTAAGACTTGTATAAATGGACTGTTAGAAGTTCTTTTTTTTTGGTATAAAAGTTTTTCCCCAAAACATCAAATTATGCAATTATCAATATAAGGCCATTAACACTTACATCAACCATAAACTCATGTTTCAGTCACTTTACAGTGCAGTAAAATTTGCTAATCTTGAACATAAGGCAGTAAAACTTGCTTATCTTAGCAAGCAGAAAGTTTAGAAGTAATTTTATAGAAAAAATAATCATCAAATCTCAGATGACTTATTGCATTCACAAAAAGTTACAACTAGCTTTGTATAGTTACAATTTACTGACACTTGACAAAAAACATTAAAAGGCATTATTTGAACCTTAGTTTAAGCATTAATTCACATTCATGTATCAGGCTTGGGCAACTGCAAAAATAGTTATTTTAAAAGATACTTCTTCTAAAAATTCAGAGCAAATTGTGGTTTCCACTAATCAAAATATAGAAGTTATATACATAAATGTATATTTGACAAATAATAAATGTGAATTTAGATACCCCTATGTAAAATTTCCATGAAGAAATCTATTATTTAGTGTGCAATGACAGAGATTCTACCATGCAAGTTCTAATAATGAACTAATGTTGGAAATCATTATATTTCCACAGGTCAGCACTGGACAACTGTGGTAGAATCATGACTACAATACTGAAAATTTTGTGGTAATGTTTTTAATGAAAAATATAGGTATACCTTTAAATTTATAGTCTTTTTTTTTTAAAGGTTTTGGGCTTATTTTTAGCAAAAAAATAAAGGTTTTTTTATAGGTTCTAAAGATATCACTAGGAGGTTTGATGTATGAATGTACAAGCAACTTGTCTTGCAACTGAACACATGTTAAAGTAATCTTAGTTCTTCAGATTTAAAGTAATGTAAATTAACCCATTGACTGCTGATTCCCAGTACAGGGTACGGTCTGCTTACTGCGGCTGAATGAAATTAGCCATAGCATTTTACACCTAATGTTTGCTATTAATAGATACAAATATATTCATGAAAAACTTCTGGCTATTCTAAGTTAAGCAATTGATATTTTATTTTATTTATAGTCTGTAGGCAGACAATTACAAATAACAGATTTTGAGTTAGGTAGCTGTATCTGTACTCACTAATTACAGAAGCCTGTGAATTTAAAATTCATAAAAGTTGTTTTGGTTTTAATAACGGATTTCAATAATTCAGCTACGTAGATTTTGAAAGTAATATTAATGTTTTTCTATCACGAATGAATTTTTTACAAATGGGGAAGAAAAAAAAACTCTTATTTGGATGAAATTATTATTTTGTTTACCATAATGAAATTTTTTTTATTATTATGTTTGTTAACAAAAAAATACAAACAAACTGAAGAAGAGGAAAGAACATTGATGTCAAACAAATATGCATCCTCATTCATCCCAAATTTTTTTGTGAAATCTACACCGATTAGTCTCAAAACTGTGTGTTTTGGTCTTTCTTTTAGGTATTCCGTTATGACGTTTTGTGAAAAATCTGTACGTGATGGAGGAAAATGGATATCATTTTCGGATTCAGCGTACGGGAATTACTATAGAACATGTAAAAATTTCAAGACTAGAAAAACCATTGTGGGTCTGTGTAATTTTATTTAATAGGTAGATAAATAACTACTGACAACAGTCTTTTGGTTTAGACAGCTTTCTTTATAATCACCGATTCTTTTATTTACAGTTTATGGGTAGACCCATAATTATTACTTACAAAAAAGCCATTAAGTTAGTTTGCTATCTTTTTAAAATGAGATTAACTACTTTCTGGATAACATTGAAACACTCTTGGGTGCTAGTGTGACAGTCCAAGTTAGTAAGTGCTTTACTAGCATTGAAACATTCTTGGGTGCTAGTGTGACAGTCCAAGTTAATAAGTGCTTTACTAGCATTGAAACATTCTTGGGTGCTAGTGTGACAGTCCAAGTTAGTAAGTGCTTTACTAGCATTGAAACATTCTTGGGTGGTAGTGTGACAGTCCAATTTAGTAAGTGCTTTCCTAACATTGAAACATACTTGGGTGCTAGTGTGACAGTCCAAGTTAGTAAGTGCTTTACTAGCATTGAAACACTCTTGGGTGCTAGTGTGACAGTCCAAAGTTAGTAAGTACTTTTCTATCAATAGCTAGTGAGTTAAATTTTTAGTTAAGTTGGTATTATCATGCAATTTATGTATTTAATTTTTCTTCCTTAGATGAAAATTTTTATTTTGTTAAAAACAAACAATAAAAATGATAATATTTCATGTGTTTTTATTATCTAAATATGAGTATCCTATTTCCACAAAAGTAAAACGTACCTTTCAACCAATTAAAGTTTTAGAAGACATAATGACTATGAAACTTGCTCACATGAAACATATGCATGTTTCCTACTAAATAACTACGTCCTCACAAACATATGCATGTTTCCTACTAAATAACTACGTTCTCACAAACATATGCATGTTTCCTACTAAATAACTACGTCCTCACAAACATATGCATGTTTCCTATTAAATAACTACGTCCTCACCACCAAATGCATGCTTCCTACTAAATAACTACTTCACCAACATATGCATGTTTCCTACTAAATAACTACGTCCTCACAAACATATGCATGCTTCCTACTAAATAACTACATCCTCAACAATATATGCATGCTTCCTACTAAATAACTATGTCGTCACCAACATATGCACGCTTCCTACTAAATAACTACGTCCTCACCAACATATGCACACTTCCTACTAAATAACTACGTCCTCACCAACATATGCACACTTCCTACTAAATAACTACGTCCTCATCAACAATCAGTATCAATGACAAGTTAACAAGCTTTCACTATAACAAAAGATAAAACAACAACAAATTAAAGGAAACACTTCATCCAAGATTATGGTTGACATGTGCTTGTAGGTACAGAAAGACACTGGAACATAATTTTAAAAGACATATCTGAATACACTGGTTTAAAGTTTAAAAGCTCAAGTTCAAAGTAATTATGTTAATCATAAAAATATAGAATTAAAAACATTAAAATTGTGCAAGTGAAACTTCAAAATTATTTGATAAGCAAATTAATTTTCTAAACTGAAACATTTACAGGAAGGAAACACACAATAGTGAACATGCTAACATTCAAATCTAGGACGTGTATTATATAAGAATTTCATAGACACGGTACCCATAATTTTTGCACACACACATGTAAAGTATATATCTTAAATTAGAACTTGTGTGCTATAATCATTTTCATACAAAACCATCAAGATTAGAATCTGGCTACACAGTTATTACAGTAATGCATGTACGATTGGTAAACTAAACTTTGATGAATACATAAAGAACTTACATAACGTATAAAACTAAGACCATTATTTAAACTGGTACCTCAAGGACATGTTTAAAACTTTATAATTTTAGTCTCTAGTTTTATTAAAATTAGTAAAAATAGAATTATACAGTTTTAAGCATGCCCAGTTTAAATAATGAAGTTATGGTCCTAGTTTTATGCTTCATTAAACGTCTTTCATTTTTACCATAGCTTCATTATTTAAATTGATGCCTCATGGACATGTTTAAAACTTTATAATTTTATTCTACAAATTAAAAATTTTTTAAAGTAATTGACAACATTAACTAAAACTTTTATAGTACCAAGTACTCAATGTTAGATATACAAACGTTGTTCTTTTTTTTTTTGCATTTCACAAAGAGTAAAACACCTCACAATTACCATAAAAAATCTCCATATCCTGCAGGTAGAGTTGGCCTTGACTAAAAATTTACATAAACTATGAAAACCTCATACTTCTCTAAATTAAACATTAGGTCATACTAAGCTCCATATATATATATATGTATTATGTCCTTCTCTGTGCAAGCTAACAAGAGAATTAGGACTAAACTCCATATAGAAAAGATTGTATGTGAAATGGAAAAGAATAACCTTACCCCACTGAGCACAGATCTTTGTGTAGGCTGGGGATAGGGTTGAGCTAATGGCCTCTGTGAAGAAACAAAAACAAATGCAGTAACACAACTGACTACCAGACTGTCCAACCATGGGTATATTACATACGCATCTAACAAAAAACAATATGGCTAGACAATACTTAGATTTGCCAGAAAAATCAGTAAGGCAGAAGGAATATGTTTATCAATTTTAATTCTAAGAATAAAATCTAATAAATAAAAAACTCCTGTTTTTCCACATTACATTTGAGTTATTTATTTCAGCACACACACACACATATAAATATATATATATTTATATATATATATATATATATTGTGAAATTCTGTAAGTTAGAAAATATCAGACAACTTTAAGGTCAGAGCATTGCCAGATACAATGTATAGCTGGCTAAATGCAACATTTCTTGGTGTAATGGTGTATACCATTTTTATATTTCAAGTAATTACAGAAACTTAGAATAAAAATTTTAAACAATTATCGGAGTCAGCCAAAGTGAGTAAGGGGACTCCAAAATTTCTTACCAAAATCCCGACTCAAAAAAAAATCAGGAAAAAAATATTTATGCAATTATGAATAGTTTTTTGAGATGACATATGTTCCAAACCTGGTATCAGATGCCCAGATGTTAACTTAAAGATAAAAGTACTATTTTCCGGCATGTATTGCTGAACACTCCAAAGGTGTCACTGATGTTTAAAAAATTTGTTAGCCATAAGAAAAAAAACTTAATGTTTAGTCTACTTTTCCATATGTTCTCCTACTTTACAAACACAATCAAACATTCCTCAGCAAAGATAAACATCTTTCGTCCTGACAAACAAAAAATTTCAAACATTTTGATAGAAATTTTACTGAAGAAGCAGATTTTTGCAGTGTAACTATGGTACAAAAGTTCAGAGTTATATACATAAATTTTATAATAGCCTTAACTAGAGAAATCAGTAAGCAACCAGCTGTTAAACACCTTATGGAAAGTGCACTAGTATTAGAATTATATACAGCTGTTTCTGTGACCATTTTCAGTTAAAACAAAGAAAAAGAACAGATGGATTGTGCACTAAAAGTTATCTATCACTTACACTGAAGTAAACCAAAGTGTAAAACTGCTTAGTTTAAATGAAACAGTCCTGAAAAACGATACTTTTACTATAATTTATAAACTTGACAATAACTTATTAATGTTCAATACAGTAGTTCCTGTAAAAAAGATAAAATTGGAGGGAACCACTGTGAGTTAACAGAAACAAGGTAATGTCATATTTGATTGAAGTGGAAACTGAAAACTCTAGGCTGAAATAGAAGAGCATCAGCTTGATGATAATGAAACAAAGCAATGGGAAATTGTCTTTAAACCTATCTGTGAAAAAATGTAATATGTAGCATAACAAATGTAAGTATTATACAATCAAGAAAAATGGAGGGATGTGTATGTTACATTATTAACGGTAACACAATTTATAACTGGAAAGCTTTTTGAAACGCATAAAAATGAACAAATTAATATTGACAAAATCACATATGATTATCCCTAACACTGTGCTGTAGGACCTATGGCATGATATCTATTAATGTGTGTGATTTTGCCTTAGCTATGCATAATAAATGCATCTCTCGGTAACCTCAAAAGTATTCTAGTGTTTTATATATATATATATATATATATATTGTACAGGTTACATCACAAAATTCATGTGGCTACTGTGCTCTTGCAGCTAATAACGTGCTTTCACACAAGTTTTTGGACAAATCTTTAGGCTTCTTCACAGTTCATTGCTTTACTTCTACAACTGTACATTGCTGTTTCTAGCACATTTTCATTTGCTTTCACTCATGGGTTCTTAGATTTAATAGAAGATAAACAATACTTTCAATTATACAAGAAGTTTCCTATCATCTAAGAAAAAATCAAAGCAATGAATGTTGGATAAACCTCAAGACTTATCATAAAGAATTTTTGAATCTTGGACCTGTAAAATGTGCACTGCATGTATATAACTAAGATCAGTAGGCCTAAAAACTAGCACAAGCCATTTTTGAGTTCTATTAAAAGATGAATTAATATGGCATCACAATGCAAAGTAAGATTATTAAAATAGACAAACATTGCAATCTGTTATATTTCATCACACTAACAAAAATTAAGGAAAAATTAATATTTAAGTTGATAAAATAAATGTGTACGTGTTTATAAAAATATAATGTTTAAAAGAACTTCAATCAGTCAAACAGTTGCATACTTGATTTTGAACTATTCAGTAACTGTGCTTTAAATTGAAACCGAACTTCTAGTATTCTCAACTAGTGTTCTAGCTAGGTATAAATAGAAGGTCAATGTGTCTCTGTCAACTATCATTTCCACGAGCTCTTATCTTTAATCACCATCCATTGGTTCTACGTTGGTACTGAATTTTTGACTAGTCTTTTGCTACAGTCATATATTTGTTTAGAAGCAGCTGTAAGGGTTATTGCTCATATTGCCGGGCAAGCACTTATACTTCACTAGTGTGATGTAAATACCAGAAATTTGCTTATAAGTACCGGATTTAAGTAAAAGAAGAAAAGTGATGGAAAATGTTAAGTAAGTAAATCTTATTTTCAAGCTACTTTATGCAGTGTAAATGGTTACTTAATTTTGTGCCATTTTTAATGTTTGCCAGGTAACATTTTTTCCTACTTTAAAGTGCGCAGATCCTGAATTGAGATGTCCTCTCAAAATCCAAAAACTGCCCAATCATGCCTACGATGATCTTGTCAGCTCCCACTATTTCAAAATTCCAGCTGTTACACTGTCAACTTACTTCAAAATTAACAAATCTCTAAGATTAGCTGAATCTTATCATCACACATTTATAAATGGCTAGCAGACTGTGAAATGGAAGAATAATAATAAATAAAAAAGAGAGAGAGAGACATCAAGAACAGACTTATAACTTTCACAATCTTTTTGATACTTTTGCATAAATTCCTTATCAGTAAAAATATAGTTCATGATAGAATATTGACAGTGACAGATAGAACAAATTCTTATTTAAAAAATGTATTCCTTCATATGATATTCAGCTTACAGCTTTAAAAAATACAATTCACAAATTTTTAATTTTTTCATTTAAGTCATATCATAAGAAATGGAAAATTTATTTCATATCTGGAAAAAAATATAGATATTTGGCAAAACACACTGGAAAACTTTACTTACTATCTTGAGCACCAAATGTTGTATTTGAGTTGAAATATTACATACTAAATCTGTACAACCATTAAATCATGAGAGCAAACCTAAGGTAAATACTACACAAACAAGCTCTAGAAAGCTTCAAACTCATCATAAATGCCACAGATAAAAAATACTGAAAGCTGCAAATACAGAGTCTAAAGATAATTTAATGGACCTTACCCCATTCATTACTTGCCTTTGGTTGCTGTGAGGGTAAGGGTGGGGTAATGGACGCTGTGAAAAAACAATATAAGGTTCAATACAGGTTCATTCTACACACAAACTGAATAAACGTAGCTATGGCCAACGTCCACAAGAAGAAAGTTTAGCAGATTTTCAACTGAATGTTTAAGTATGTGCATTTACTGAACACATTATGAATTTTTGAAAAACATACAAAATGATAAAATACTCAAAATTAACTAAGCCAAGCTTCAGGATTTACCAGCAGGTTTATGCAAAATTGCAAAAAATGTAATGCTTAAATTAATAAGATACATCTATGTAACAAAATATATATGACAGAAGCCTTCTACAAAAAAAAAACAGTGCTGGCAAATAAATAAAATTAAAAAAATATGTTGCATAGATTGTAATACAATAGGCATATTTAGAAAATAGTTCCACATTTGAAGGGTGTACAAAGAAATTTGAACAGCTAATTCCTGGTAATTTTTAAACCAATTTAATAATTTTCTATGATACTATTGTTTTAGAACTAAAGTAATAACTTTTTAACAGATTTCAACTCTGAAAACACTTGTAGAACTTGAAGCAATTATGGATAACAATAATAAGTTCAAGCAAGATACACTAACTCTTTCAATGCCACGGGCAAGTATATTCTCTGAAAAGTGTGATATTAAGTAAATGTTCTGAGAAATAGGTACGTAATAATATTAATAAAATTAATTAAGAAAATCATGTTTCATATTAATATGCAAATTGCATGAATAATTATTTTACAGTTACTTAGTACTTCATACAATCTCAGAGAAAAAACATGTTGATAAATAAAAAAAGGAATAAGCAAGATGCAATTAATCATACAACACTGTGTGTGTTTCTGTGTGTGTATGAAGAAATAAACCTGACACTGGAAGATTTGTTTATCTGTAAACATGGCTGAGAAAGAGTTTTAAAACTTGTTATCGGCTTAATAATATATTCCATGAATTTGTCAGCTCTGGAATAGGTAAGTGAAGAGGATTACATCGACATCCTAAGTTCGACATTATACAATCCCCAAAAGAACAAATCAATCTAAGACAATCAATATACATATACAATTAAATGTAAATATCTTGTACATTTGTATACAGCAGTGGTCCCCAAACACAGGATCACTTCAGATGATGACCACAAAGCCAAGGGCTGTATCTGTACCTGCTATGGACTGTAACATCTCCCAACTACAGTTTGGCTTACTTTTGCGATATCTGATCATAGTGTGGGCTACTAATGTGGCACTCAAGAGCTTTATGTGACTTATGAATTGCTTATCGAGGACCACTGGTACACAAAACGGTAAATCTACAAGAAATATACACACACTCAAACTGTTTGAAAAATACATACATGAAAGACGTAGTAGTCAATCTAAAAGGAATAGACACACAAGTTATTGTAAAATGCAAATATTAACCTACAATTAACTGAAACTTGAACAATTACTTAAAGGCTAATGTACGTTTAAAAGCAGAAATCTCTTCTAATTAATCACAAGTTATCATCATTTGAATATCCATTATCTGTTAACATACAGCTTGAATCATGCAATTTTTCCTAAAAATCCATGACTGTATCACTGTTAGTCAACACTACCGTAACCAACCATTAAAAAAAAACAACACTTTCAGAGTATTTACAAATTACTTTTATCACTTAACTATATCGCAATCACTGAAAACAGTCATTTTCAATTAACTCACTTCTTTTGATACTATAGGGATTTTGTAGTTGGTGGGTAAAACTGTGGATAACTATTATATAAAATAGTGATATGAAGTTATAAAATCATGTCACCTCAAGGTTTGTTTGCAAGTTCCCTATTTTTGTCTTGGTTACTCAGTTTTTTTTTTTACAAAGATTATTATGAAAATAAGATGCAGTATTAACTTTTTTTGTTCATAGATCTTGAAATACAAAAATTTTTGTACAACTTAGTTTAGTCATATCGTTTAACCACACACTTGCGTACACATGCACACTTGTTTTTTTATTCTTTTTTGGCTAGACTTTGCTAGCTCTGTTCTTACATTATCATTCACTAGGCTTCATAACAATACACCTTTACATAAGAACTAAATTTCAAAACAGTTTTGTAATGGAATAAAAAGTATCATATTCTATGTACATCTAACCAATGAAAGAATAAACAAATGTTATTTATATTTCAACAGAGTTTGATACAAGTAGAAGTATTTTTCAGCACTTTTTAATATTTTTATCCTTCAATATTTAACTCTTTCACTGACATGGACACATTATGTCACCCACTAAGAGCACTGTAATGTGAGTTTGGAATTTTGTATCACCACGAAGAAAGGATATTTCCTTTCAAATTTCTCCTAATTTACTAGCTTCAAATTTCAAATGGGTAACGAAATATTGAAATGTGTTTTTTTGTTTTTATTTTGTATATCCAAAAATAAATCAGGTCCTTGGAGTGTTGTTTATCTATAGGCATGGTAGCAAGAGAGTCAAGTCTACGATATAGTACGGGAAGACTGAACAATAACACTAATGAATTTAAAAATAAACTGGATAGAACACAAACCAATAATTATGGAAGTCCATGATAAATGGCACACTTAATATAGTGTTTTATGTACACGTGTACGTATGCATGTTTCTTTACGAGTATTCAAAATGATAACAAAACTTATACACATTTTTAGGCATAAATTTGTTTAGATGAATTACAAAATTAAAAAATAAATATATATATATGTGTTTCAGACAAGACCTTTTTACCAATATATTATTGTTAGTCTTTTGTATATTTAGCTATGTTCTTTTGCTATAAATATCATTGGGTCCCCCCTTTCATCCTATTTATTAACTTTTGCTGATTTTTCATAAAAGAAATTT